CGCCCCCCCTCCCGCGTCCCCCCTCCCTCCGCCCCCCTCCCCCGGCTGCGCCGCCGCGTTCGCGCCTTTGCCTGCCGCGCCTCCTCCTGGACTTCCGGAGCCGGCCGCACAGAGGCCCCGCCCCCAGGCGCGTTGGGCTTCCCGGCCCCGCCCCCTGCCGCCGCGCTGCGTCCGCGCCGCCTGTCGCGCTAGGGCTGGCTTCCGGAACGGGACGGAAGGGCGGGCGGCGGCCAAGGCCAGAGCCAAGGCCGGCAGGGCCGAGGCCGCCTAGGCCCTTCCGCGGAAGGGCGCGGCTCCCTGGGGAGGGGTCGCGCGCACTTCCTCCTGTCCCCTCGTTCCTGCTCCGCCCGCCCCCAGGTGCACGGGCAGCCGAGGCCGCCCGCCCGGGGAAAGGGGGGGCCGAGATCAAAGTGGGGGCGGGGAGCGCGCCGCTCGCCGGCCGGGCCCGGAGGCCGCAGCGGGCGGATCAAAGCGTGCCGGCCCGGGCCGGTGCCACCGAGCGGCAGACGCAGCGCCCCGAAGCCGCGATGTCGGCCCTTCCCTGACTTTGCAGGGTGGAGGTCAGGCCCAGTGAGGCGCTCGCCCCTGCCCTCGCTGGGCGCTGCCCTGCGGCCGGGATTACGGAGCCCCGCCTCTCCGTAGGCCTTGGCTCGGGCCTGAGCTGGGAACGGATGCTCCAGCTACGGGGCCGCTCCAAAGAAGTTTGACGGCCCAGACATCCTAATAGCTGCCATACGTGGGAAGCCACGTCGCGGCAAACGTGGAGTATATGCCTTTATGGCATTTCATGACTCCTCATTGCGCCCGGAAGCGCTGCCATAGTCAGCCCCAATTTCACAGACGGGCGGGGGGGGGGTTGCGGTGTAGACGGAGACCAGAGAGGCAGGTTGCCCAAGGCCTCGCAGGAGATGGGGCACAGCCGGCATTTGGACCCAGATCTCCAATTATGCACATCAGGCTTTTTTATACTCTGCAGATCCGGCTCCCGGGAGAGTAGCTTCCTTTCAGTGGGCACAGCTGGCTGCCAGCTCTGTTACTGACCTTACCTCGCTGCTGCCTCATCCCCCGCAGGAAGATCCTCCTACCCAGAGGGAAGCCCCACTCCCCGCCCTGAAGGTGCCCAGCACCCGTGAGCTCGACCCCAGGAGCCTGGAGACCTCGTGCCAAGTGAGCACCCACCTGTTACACGAGGTCCTTTTGCTCAGGTGACGGGAAGAGACATCCTCTGTGCAGAGAGAGTGTGGGAAAGTAGGTGATTCCAGGATGGCTGGTGTGTCGGTCCCAGTCAGCCAAGCCAGTGGCACCAGGCTGGGCAGTGTGGGTGCGAGCACCTGGGGACAATCACACACATAGCCACAGACTCGGCGTTGAAGAAAACAAAGCCCCAGTTCTATCGAGACTGCTTGCCTCTTCTCTCCACCCACTGCTCTCCCTGGAAGACTCTGAGGGCATTTTGGCTTTTCCACGTGGCTCCCCAGGTTGGTATAGGAAGGCCACGTGATGCTGCAGGTTGGCAGCACACAGGACACAAGACCCCAGCCCAGGCCAGCTCAAGGCCCAGTGCAGTGTGCCTGCAGCAATCCAGATTTTCCATCCTCTAAATGTACCTCAGAAAGGAAGCTGCACATTTGATTTTTTTTTTTTTTTTTTTTTTTGGCTCCATATTAAAGAACAAAGCATGGGAACTGGACAGGCCTCTCTGTAAACAGAAAACACATGTTTTCTGAGAGAATGGGCCTTTCCTTTCCTGATCTCTTCTACCATGGACAAAGGCCTCCTTAGGCCTCTTGGCCTTCAGGAGCAGAGAGGCCTCAGACCCAGGGCTGAGAGGAGGTGATTCTTCTTTGCTCTAACTCAGGGAGCAACACCCACATTCTTAAATAAGGGCAATTAGTAGGTCTGCCCAGCAGTGGGGTGGGCCTGGGGTGTGGTCCCAGAAAAGAAGTCCCTTGGGGACCTGAACAGGATTTAGGTAGGAAGAGGGAGGATCTGGATCATTTATGTTCTTCAAACACTTGAGAATCATCTTGGGTTCTACTTGTGCTAGCTTTGGGTGAACATGCATACCTTGGGGCCTGCTAGCCACACACAGGGGCAGAGACCTCTCTTACCTTCGAAGAGAGGCCAGGCCCTTATGTCTGCAAAGAGTAGGCATGCTGAGACTTGAGTGCCCGCTGCTGTGTGATCTTGGGCAAGTTTTTTAACCTCTCTGAGCCTTGGGTTTCACATCTGTAAAATGGGGATAACAATATTTGCTTGTTGAGGATTAAATAAGATAATGGGTATGGCCCTGTCCGACACATAGGAGCCAATTAATAAGTGAACAAAATCAGACTTTGTATCGGTTTCAATGCAGAGCTATTTCCATGCCCCGAGAGTAGCCCCAGAGCCCTCCACAAATATCTAGGTTGCCTGTACTCCTAGGAACACTTCCACTTCCCTCATCCTCTGCTGGGCACTGGCTGAGCGCCAGGGCTCGGCCCCCTGCAGACCGGCTATGCCACCTCTTTGGAAGCAGCCGTGTCAGAATGGATCATCCCTTTGAACCCCCGCAGAAGCCTGATCTTTGTCCTCAAGGGGAGATTTGATTTGGGGAAATAACCAGACGTCCTTTGGGCCAAGTCGGTGGAGTAGATGCATGGGAGCCAAGCCCTGTTTGGGGCCACAATGTGCCTCGGCTGTAAAGTCAGGAGCCCCTGTGGCTCCGGGTTCTGAAGGCAGTTTGGAAGGAGAATCTGGATCGGATCATCTGGACCGACCACCACTGACACTGGTGGGTGTAGATCACCAGTGAGCATGAGTGTGAGAAAACAGAGATAGTCACACACACCCAAGCTCCGTGGATGAGCCAAATCAAAGCCAGACTAATTAACACGAGGCTGCCTTTCATCTCAGCCCACAGTTCGATATTCATGGAAATCGTTGTGGGAAAATTCCAAGCGTTCCTGATACAGGCGAATGGAAGCATACAGGACTTAGAAGTTGGGGTTCCCTCCCAGTTCTGTCCCTAACTGGCTGTGTGGCCTCTGGCTGGTCACTTCATCTCTGCAGCCCTCCGTTGTCCCATCTGACAATGGGGATCATGATGCCCAGCCTTAATATGGGAAGCAAGTGGGGAAGAAATGGATATGAACGTGCCTAGAAATCCTGGCCTCGTGTGTCCTGGGCCTTAAAAACACGGACACCCTTTGACCTAACACTTCCGCTTCTGGGAATTTATCCTCAGGGAAATCAGCACAGCCATACATTAAAATGTCCGTGTAAAGATGTTCCCAATAGCGTTACTGATAATAGCAAAAACTTTAAAGAGACTATATGTCTGACAATAGGGGCAAAATGGACTATTCCACGGCTCTCAGAGGTGCTCCAGGCAGAAGATACACAGGCCATGCCCACACAGTGCTGGTGACACAGCCCATTAAAAATTAAAAAAAAAAAAAAAAAAATCAGCATTCATAAAGCTCTATTCACAATTGCCAAAACATCAGAAACAACCCAGTTGTCCACCACCAGCTGAGTGGGTAAAGAAACTGTGATAGGCATACGATGGGATACCATGAAACAGGAAAAGCGAGCATGAGCTACTGATGGACTCAGTGACACAGATGAAGGTCAGTTATGCTGAGCAGGAGTTCACACTCTATGGGGCGCCTGGCTGGCTCAGTCGGTAGAGTGTGGGACTCTTGATCTCAGGGCTGTGAGTTCAAGACCTGGGCAGGGTATAGAGCTTACTTAAAGATAAATTTTTTTTTAAAGATTTTATTTATTTATTTGAGAGAGAGAGATAGAGAGCACAAGGGAGAGGGAGAAGCAGACTCCCTGCTGAGCAGGGAGCTGGACGTGGGACTGGATCCCAGGACCCTGGGATCATGACTTGAGCCGAAGGCAGACGCGTAACCGACTGAGCCACCCAATCTTTTTTTTTTTTCTTAAAGATTTTATTTATTCATTTGAGAGAGAGGCGAAAGAGAGCACGAGCGGGGGGAGGGGCAGAGGAAGAGGGAGAAGCAGGCTCCCCACTGAGCAGGGAGCCCAGCAGGGGGCTCCATCTCAGGACCCCGGGATCATGACCTGAGCTGAAGGCAGATGCTTAACAGATTCTTGATTTCGACTCAGGTCATGGTCTCAGGGTTGTAAGATCAAGCCCCACATGGGGCTCTACGCTGGGTGTGGAGCCTGCTTGGGATTCTTTCTCTCCCTCTCCCTCTGCCCCTCCCCCCCAAATTTAAAATAAATAAAATAAAATCTTTTTTAAAAAAAAGCTCATACTCTGTGATCCCGTTTATATTAAATTCAATGAAGGTAAAATGAATCTATAGTGATATGAATCAGATCAGTGGTGACCTGGGGCCTAAGAGGCAGGGCTGCCTACAAGTTGGGACTAGTGGACATTTTATGGTGACAGCGTTTTCTCTCTTGATTGGGATGCTGGGGCCGTGGGTGTATACATTTGTCAAAGCTCGTCAAACTTTACAAGTTGAAAGGGATCTCACTGAATGGAACTTGTAGCCCAATAAAATTAATTTTAAAATGATTGGTATTTATTTTCCAATTCCTAGAGAGATTAATATTTAATGACACGAAATGCTCACAACATATTAAACAAAAAGATTTCTGAAATGACTTATAGCATGATCGCACACACATATATCAGCACCTATATGTAGCCGGCTTGGAGACTATTCCAGAAGGACTTGCAACAAAATGTACCTAGTAATTATCTCATGGGTAATTTCTGTTTTCTATTTTGTGCTTTTCTGTATTTCCAAATTTTCTGTAACAAACACTTTCCTTTTCATAAACAAATTAAATAAGAACAAACATATCTCTTTTCCCTTTTTCCAGCTAGAGCAGCCCAGGGATGTGGGGCTGGGCCCCAGGACAGATGGTGAGGACGTGCCGGTCGGGTGAAGGGGAACTCCCTGGGAGATGGTAGCAGATGATGGGGGTGGGAGGGGTGGGGCCCCCTTCCCTGGTCCTTTGGCCCAGTTTCTGTGCTGGGTTATTCTCCAGGGCTGCCGTGCCTACTGGAACTGCTGGTGTAGGGAGGAGCGTTATCCTTGCGTTGGCTGAGGTGGCCTAGAAGTCAGCCTCTCCCATCTGGGGTGCCAGGGGCCTTACGGCTCCTCTCCCGAATATGCTAGTCTCCTGTGCTGCCCTGAGCAAGGGGTGGGGTGGGAGTTCCAGTCTCTTTGCCCCTACCCCCACCCCGGAGCCACTTTCTTTGCTGGAAGAAGTCTTTCTCGGTGAGAGCTGAAGGGACTGGTCGGGGTGATAGGGTGGGAGACCCTTGCCATTCCACACCCCCCCCCGCCCCCCGCCGGCTCTAGGAGGTTGGGGCTATTGTTTACCACCACCACGCTCTCCAAATTTGGGGAAATTGAGAGGAGAAGTGATTGCCTAACATCACCCAGCCAGTAGCTGGTGGAGCTCAGACTTGACCCCAGGTCTGGATTCTCACTGGATTCAAGCTTCTTTTCCCAGGAGCTTCTGGGCCCCAAATAGCTCATGAATGCAGTGTGGGTTTGGGGGTCAGGGGCTGTATTTCTCCTGTGCCTGTTGTCTGCTCTGGGTTCCTGTGCAATTTATAATCTTCTGCACAGTCAGTGGACCAGTCAGCTGGGCTCAGCACTTAAACGTGAGCTTCTCTGAGAACAGGGCTCCGCCTGCACGCGGAGCTGCTGGGAGCCCAGTGCCACCACCCCCACCCCTGATGGAAGACCCCTTCCCTCCAGCCAGCTGGCCTCACAAAGGTTCCGAGGAGGAGGCCTGATCGATTCGGTTTCTTTTTCCTTCCTCGGTGAGCAGATTCTATAACAGACTGTGGAAATTAAAAATAAGAGCCTGAAACTGTTAAAAAAAAATTTTTTTTTTAACCGAGTCACAAATGGGAAAGACGAGGCAACAGCAGGTTAAGGACACTTTGTGATGTAGCGTTTTTATCACTCGGCACTTTCCCGGCTGTAAATGTCACAGTGGATGGTCCTTGTGAACAGGAGGCAGTGCAGACGGTTTATACCTGCGTGTGAAGCTGCCGCTTAGCATTAGTTCACAGCGTGGGGGGCATCGGTCCTGCTCTGATTCTCCTTCAGGGTTTCCATGTAAAAATCAGTTAATGAGGTAAAAGAAAAAAAGTTTAACAAATGTAAGGTATTTGTATGTTTATTTATAGAACTGTAAAGAAATTAACTGTAAAGCAAGTGGCCAAATGCTTTAGAGTAAAAGGACCAGGAAGGAAGGAAATTTTCTCCCTTCCCTTCCCTCCCTTCCTTCCTTCTTTCCTTCCTTCCTTCCCTCCTTCCTTCCTTCCTTCCTTCTTTCTTTTCCTTCCTTCCTTCCTTCCTTCCTTCCTTCCTTCCTTCCTTCCTTCCTTCCTTCCTTCCTTCCCTGTATGTTCTTCAAACTTTCTATAACAGTTGTATTTTTTGTTAAGATATATATATATTTTTTTAGCTAATCTCTACACCTGACGTGGGTCTCGAACTCACAACTCCGAGATCAAGAGCCTCACGCTCCACCGACTGAGCCAGCCAGGTGCCCCTACAGTTGTATTACTTTTATAATGAGAAGAAATAAAGTTATATTAAAAAGAGGTAGAATACGATTATATTAGAAGCAGTCAGCCTGCCCCCGAGCCTTCACATCAAATGATAACCGTGACGATCAAGGGCACTTTTGCTTGAGTACCTGCTACGTGCCAGATCTTCTGCTAACGTCTCCCATCATCCTGGCCCCTCAGAACTGCCCGCAGGTGGGGGCTGTCCCCCCCAGACCAGGGAGTCGAGGCTATGCCGGAGAGGGAACAGCGATGATTCTGATTCTCAGAATTGTACTCTTTCCCAGAATTGTACGCTTCCTGTCTCATCAAGGTGAACATTTTTCCGAAATACAATGATCTTTGATGAGAATGTCTTTATCTTGTTTACATAGAATCAAGAATGATTTCTGCAAACAGAATTTAGTAAAAGAAATATAAAAGTCATTTAGTTTTGTTTTTGTTTCTGTATTCATTTTGTTTACTTTAGGACACTGTCCACAAGCGGCCAAACTAAGGATCAGCTCCATCACGTTCAGAGCCCCCTTGTCCAAAAAGGATTCCGAATTTTACGATGGGGTCTACAGAGCATCGGGCCCAGAGCAGGTGCACCGGCCACAGGCCCTGAAGCCTGCCCCCGACAAGGTCTGGACAGATTTTGATGGAGTTACAGTGATATCTGCTCTGGGGACAAAGCGAGCACCAGACAAATGACTTTGAGCTTCGGGAATATACATAGTTCCTGATACATTTTCCAGTCCTAGAAATACAAAGTGAGGAGAGGAGTCACCAGGGAGGTCTCTGGAGAAAACCCCCCCTTCACCCCCCACGGGGAAGGGCTGGGCCCTTGCACAAGGAGCTTTCATGTAAAGCAAAGGACACCTACTGCATGTTCTTGCGAAATGTCACACCTTCCTACCCCCCTCCCCCACCGAGCCTTGACAGAATTTCCATGGCTTTGCTGGAGTGTGCGTGGCTGGCCAGCCCAGGTCTTGGAGAGAAACGAGGAAAAGCCAATGCTCATGCTTGCTCCGGTGAAGACACGATGAGAAATTCCATTGCACCTGCTTTGGGAAAGGATCTCGGGTTTCAGGGCAGGTGGATTTCCCCCCACCCCCAGAGGAGGACTGTGGGTGCTGGGGACAAATTGGCAGCCTCTGTATGTAAGTTGGGGATGATCTGCAGCTTGGAAGACCGGCTTCACAATCCCACTGCAGCCAGCCCCACGCACAATGTGCCCACTTCCACCACCCCTATGTCCTCAGCCCCGTGTCAAGTTCTGGCAGTTTCCAGGTGGATAGACAGCAGCACTGGGCACCCTGGTGGCTGAAGCCCCTTCCATGAACAGTGTGTGGAAATGCACAACCAACCACAGCAAGGATCATGGTAGAGAAGTCATCTGAAGCACAGATACCCACTTAACAGAGAGGCTCCGGCCGGGTGAGGCCCCATTCGCTTTCGCAGGACCACAGACAACATATTCCTCCCCCCACCCTGCTATCTACAGCCCCCTTGCTCATTTTTCTTTACAAAAAATCCACCCCACTTCTCCCAGCTTTTCTTAGCACTCTGGAGGAGCAGGCCTGGGACAGAATATTTTCTCCATAAGCATGTCTTGCAAGGAGGGCTGGACAGACAAATGGGTAAACGGGGCAGGTGCAGGGGCATCCCAAGGCTGGTAGGCGGCTGGCTGCTCTGCGCCCCTCAGCTCCTGTCCCAGTGCTCACAGGGCCCTCGAAGGGAGTGGGCTTGGCCAGTGCACAGGTTTCCAGGCCTGGGGCCACTCGGCTGCCTCCCCCAGTCCAGATATGTCCCCAAGACCCTGCCCTGGGACGGTTCCAAGCCATGCAGAGCAAGAGGGCAGAAAATGGAGGGAGGCAGCCAAGAAGCTTCTGCGAAGAGCAGGTAGAGCTTCCAGGTCATGTCAAGGCCTTGCACACGAAATTTCGGCCTGAAGGGCAGGAACAGGGTTCTGTATCCGCTGCAGATGTGGACTGGGAGCAGGTGGGCCTCTCCCAGGTCCTCTCCTGGACACCACGGGTCCCAGCGGCCCCTCCGTTCTCAGGACGGGAACACATGGTGGCTGTCCGCAGTGGCTGACTCAAGCCCTCTGCTGAGGGGACAAGACGAGACAGAGCCTGCGGAGGGGGCTGCTGCTATCCTGGGACCCGGTCTCAGCGTCCCTCGCTTTCAGGAAGCATACTGGGCCTGTCTCTCCATGTGCTCGCCTCGCCCCAGATTTGCCCAGGGCACTTTGGAGTGGGTTATAGAACACACAGGTGCCAGAGCAGGGTGCCTAAACAACGGGACCAGAGCAAGGGTAAAGGAGCCCCCTCCAGAGTTGAGGGGGGCTTGTTTACCCCTTAAGAGAAAACAACCCCAAACAGCTTCTGGGTGGAATTTCAGACTGTGGGATTTCTAAGTAGCCAGCCCCCTCTCCTCCGTATTTCTTTCTTTCCTCCCCTCTCCGGGCCTGCTTTCCCTCTTTGTTGCCAAGCTCAGACGTCGCTGCTGAAACCAAGCCCAGCGCCCGCGAAGCCCGGAAACTTCCAGCTCTGCGACGAGGCGGAAAGTTGGGGTCGCAAGGCCGGGGTGACAACGGCGCCCCAAAGGCCGGGCGCGGCGGTGACCCGGGGCGCCGCCTTCGCGGCCTCGTTCCGCCTGGCCGCGCCGGGACCTCGGACAGTCCAGGGGCCGGACGTGAACCCGACCGCGGGGGCTCCCCCGGAGGACCTGGTAAGCGCGCCGCTCTCCCGCCCCCGCCCCCAGGGGCTCCGCGGCCGGCCGGTCCGAGCGCGCGGCGAGGGGCTCGGGGTCCGCGGCCGCGGGGCGAGGGGCCCGGGGGCTGGGGGGCCCGGGGCCCGGGCCTCCGTCCCGGAGGGGCGCCGCCGCCGTGGCCGCCAAAGGAGGCACCGCTGAGCCCCGGCCCTCCACCGCCCCACGAAGTGTGCCCTCCCCGGCCTCCTCCCGAACAAAGCCTCGGGAAGTTCGCAAGGGAATCCTTCCCGACATGTTCCCTCCCCCGGGGCTGCTGGCTCTGGGCGGCGGCCATCCGGGCTCTTAAAGGGGAAAGAAGACCACGCTGGCTTTCTTCTCTCCTCCGCGTTCTTGCACGCTCCCCCTTGGCTGAGGGAAGAAGGGTTGGGGTGGTCCACTCCACCTCTCAGGTGTTAACTCCCTCAGGCGGGGGCCTGCCCAGGGGCTCCACGCTCAGATGAGGGCCTGCCGGACCCCCAGCAGTTCAGGGAGAGGCAGCCCCTGCAACAGGAGTGGGTCCTGGGGGTCCAGGTGGACACTGCTCCTGATCCACCCCACTTGCCTGAGCAGCTGCCCTGCCCCCGTCCTGGGTGACCGGCCTGAGCAGGACCCCCAGCCACAACCTCCCGATCCGCTCTGCCTGGGGAAGCTGTGCTAGCTTAGCCGAAGTGCCAAGCCACCGTGGCGGGTCCTGGGCACACAACAAGGCAGCTGTGGTCAGGGCCTGTGGACGAGAGGGAGTCTGGGCCCGGTGGGACCTTGTCCCTGGGTAGGGGGAGACACTGGTGTCTCCTCCACCCCCTCACCTTTGCCCACAAGCCCAGGTCCAGCAGCCCCTCCAGCCTATTCCTCCACACTTGTCCTATTGCATCAGATGGGCCTGTGAGTGTCCTGATCCCTGGGGGGCACCTGCAGGGTAGGGAATCAGAGCCTTGATAATTTCAGAGTTCTCCCCTGGGTCTGGGCCAGGAGTTTGACTCAGTGCTCCCCAGCCAGAGCAGAGACTGCCTGCGTGGCCTTGCTCTAGGCGGTGGCCAGGTCCCCAACCTTCTAGAGACCATCGCTAACCTCACCTCCATGCCCAGGGCTCCCGGAGCCCAGAGTCCTCCGTGAGAGGCTGCAGGGGCAGTGGGTAGAGCGCTCATGCAGGAGTGAGAAGGCCTGGGCCAGCTGGGGATTGGGCAGGTCACCACCCTCAGTAGCCGGGACATTCCAGCAGCAGCCTCGAATGGGCAGCCTGCAGGGTTCAGGCAGGCCACGTGGGGCTCCGTGGAGAATTTTCAGGGACTGAGGGAACAGAGACCCCAGGCCAGCCGGTTGCTGCCAAGAGGGCAAAGGCCTAGGGTTCCAGAGCTTCAGACTCTTTAGGAGAAGGAAATCCAGATTTGTGCATGGGATGTCCAAAATTTGAAAATATCACATATCCTGGGCTGAACCCAGCCTGTAGACCCCCCACTTTGCAACCCCTTGAACACATGAGCTACTTAGTGTTAAAAGGAGGCAGGAATCCTAGTGACCCCAGCTCCAGCCCAATCTCTGATGAGAACAGGGAGGAGAGGCAGTTTGCACCCTGTTTACCCCACATCTCAGGGAAGTCCAGGCCTCCACACGCTGAGTGCTCCAGGCGACGGGGGCTGGCTTGCCTCTTTCAGATCAGATCTGCTTAATTGAACTGGTTTGAAGTTAAAATCTCCCTTTAAACCAGGTAACAGAATTGCACCGTCCCCAGATCCTCTGAGGAGCCTCCGTGCCCACTCAGGCTGTGCCCACAAAGTTCGGTGTGTAGCAAAGCTGCGGAAGCACGCAGAAAGCGAACTTGAACTTGAGCTTTCTTCCTGTCCCAGGCGGTAGATCCACCTCCAGGTATGAAAACCTGGACCTGCAGGAGTGAGAAGGCCTGGGCCAGCTGGGAATTGGGCAGGTCACCACCCTCAGTACTCCAGGCATTCCAGCAGCGGCCTCGAATGGGCAGCCCGCAGGGTTCAGGCAGGCCACGTGGGGCACCGTGGAGAATTTTCAGGGTCTGTTGCTGCCCAGAAGGGCCGGCTACAGAAAGCCAGGCCTGCGCCCGAACCCCAGCACTGCCTTGTGGTGCATGGAGGCGCTGGGAGACTGACGTCGTCTCCCCTATCTTCAGCTTCCTTCCCTGTGCCTACAGCCCTGTGCTGAGCACTGGGGATCAAGAGGTGGGTCTGACACAGGCCATAATTTGAGAAGCTGCTGGCTGCCCTGTGCAATTTTAACATCAGGGGGAGGTTCTCTGGGCTAACTCCCCATCCAGAGAAGGTGTTTCCTGCACAGTGCTCCTGCTGGCGGCCATGCAGTCTTTGTTGAATGCCTCCAGAGATGAGCAGCTCACCAGCTCTCTGGTGGTGTTTCTTGTAGGTATCCCTGAACTTTACTGTCAGGACCAGATGTAGGACAGGCCTATGGCAGTGGCTCTGGGTCCAAGGTACCTGGTTTTACTGGGGAAAATACACACCTGGTAAGAAGGTCCTAAAAAGATTGGTGAGGTACTAATTTTGGTCTCCAGAAGAAGGGATGGCCGCATGTTTCCCACTTTTGCCAACAGCCTATGTAGCAAGGAGAAGGCAAAGAGAAGGAATCACTGAGTGGGAAATTAAACATAGTACAAAAGGCTGGCCGCCTCACTCAGGAAACTGGAGAGCAAAGTCGAGGCATCCAGAGGCCTCAGGTTTCTTTGCCAGGACTGGCTGCATAATTCGCAGAGCACGGTGCAGAATTAAACGTGGGGCCCTTATTCAAAATGACTAAGAATTTCAAGATGGTGACCACAGAGCATTAAGCTAAGTGTGGGCCCCTCTGAGCACAGGGCCTTCCTGAGCGCGGGCTCTTTGCGGCAGATAGGTCACAAACCCACGAGGCTGGCCGAGCTCCTGGCGAGTGCTTAAGCTGCGTGCTGAGGCGCGAGGGGACCACAGGCAGTTCCCTCGAAGGAGCATGACTCCTCTCCTGAATTGATTCTCTTTTCCATCACTGATGTTACATGCTAATTTTAGAACACTTCGGATCCTCACAAAAGAAGAAAAATATTTTCAATCACCTGTGAAACCACACTCAGAAATAGCCAGTGGGAGCACTTTACCCATCTTCCAACTTCGATGTTTTGAAACAAAATCAGCATCTGAGCTTCTTATTAGAGTATGTATCATTTTATCTTCTGTTTGTTTCACTAAATATTTTATCACCACTACTTCCTAAGTCAGAAGATACTCTTCTGCCGGTTGATTTTTAATGGCTACTATTCCATTGGACACAGCTTTTTAACAACCCTTGTTATCAGACGCAGGTAATTCCCGGCTCTCTCTGTTATAAACAGCACTTCGAGGAACACCCGTGTGCACAATTCTGCACATTTCCGAGGGGAGTGAAGACTCTTAGGTTCCAGAAGGCTCTTGGGGTCTCTCTGAAATGCCACCTCGGCCAGGGCCTGAGCCCCCCCCGCCCCCGCAGTACTGAGGGGATAGCCCTGCCTGGCATCTTAGTTGTTCTTTTCAGAGAAAACCCAGTCCTCCTGCAGCCGACTTGCCTGGACAGTACTGAGCCCCCACTGCACGTGCAACACCAACTGATCGCCTTCACAGCCCCCTTTACAGATGAGGACCCTGGGCCCGGCGAACAGAGGCACTGGCCCAAGGACTTCCTGCCTGATGTGTTGTGAGAAGGACACGTTGATGATAACAAAGCAGAAGATGGTCCCTCCTCCCACCGAACTGTGGACAGGATTTCAGGATCTGGGCTGTCTCAGTCCCAAAGGCTGGGGATGGAATAATATCATGCTTAGCATGGTACCTGCTCTTGGGCTACGCTCAGTAAATGGTGGAGAAGCAGGAAGGAGAGGAGGAGGGGGACGGGGATGGGGAGGGAGAGCAGTAGTCAGGAGGGGAGGTTAGAGCCCCCTTAGGACAAGAGGGCTCTGCAGGGCATCTGACTGAAGCCTCCTGAGGGCGGGGATGAGGTGTCCTAACCCCAGCCCAGCACTCCCCACTGCCGATGAGCAACGTGTGTGGAGGGACTACGTAGGCAGGCTGCACCCCCAGTCTCCTTCAGAGGCATCTGGACATGTGGGGGGGGGTATTAGTTTACTGCTGCCATAAGAAAGTCCCCTGATCTAGTGGCTCACAGAGTGCAAGTTCAGTACCGTGCAGTGGTGGGGGCTGGAAGTCTGAAATGACTCACGGGGCTAAAGTCAAGGTGTTGGCAGGGCTGGTTCCTTCTGGAGGCTCCCGGGGAGAATCCTTTTCTTGGCCTTTTCCAGCTTCTAGAGGCACACAGCTGGGCCAGGGTCTCCATTTTTAAGGGCTTATATCATTAGATTGGACCCAAGTGGATAATCCAGGATGCTGTCCCAGCTCTAAGCCCTTAACTTCACCCACCTGCAATGTGGATTTGGACGGTTCTGGGTTTGTTGCTGGGCTGAGCAAATTCCTGTCAGAGGCCCTACCGGCCCCACCCTTCGCCTACCGTAAGGACAGAGGTTCTGGGAGCTCAGGCAGGTTCTCTGCTCAACCTGGACCTGCTTTTCCTCACCCAACCTCACAGGGCAGGCAGAGTGGGCACTATTGTCCCTATTTTACAGGTGGGCAAACTGAGACCCAGAGAGGCTGTACAACTTGCTTAAGGCCATACAGCTGGCAAGGGGCAGGGCTGACCCTGGGTAATGGCTAGACCCTGAATCCAGGGCTCCACGGTGCCTGCCCCCTGCCTCTAGGAATACAGACTTCCCTGGTTCTCATTTAACCACAGCCCTTGTTTCTTTCGAGAAGGGTGGCGGGCCTTCTTGCCCCTTTCCCAGAACAGGCAGGCTGCTCTCGGGGACAGAAAGGCCACAGGGCAGCCCTTGGCAGGGGGGCTTGTGTGAGTGTGGAGGGATCTAGGAGCCTCCCCAGGCGGCAGGGCCTCATTGCAGCTTGCGTGTTGGTAGGGTGAAGGTGTGGGTGGCCAAGGACGGGTCTGTCTGTCCCGGCCAGAAGGGCTGCAGCTCTTCCTGGTCCCACCGAGGGCCTTGGGGACATCTCTTTCCCTCACACCAGCACAAGGCATTGACCCAAGCAACGCAAAGTTGCTCTTTGTGAGGACATAAGGAAGAGAATGTTCCTGGGGCAGCGTCGGAAGCTGGGGTGGCACTCGATACACAAAGGCAGGCAGGGTGTGCCCAGTCCCAAGGCTGGGACCGTGCAGAGGGCACGGGCGGTGTTCCCTCCAGGCCGTCGGCTGCAGCCCATCCCGCCTGGGCCCGGGCCTGGCATGGCAGGAGTTAAGCTGCCGCGGGCACCTTGGCACACGGAGCTGCCCAGAATGTCCGGCTCCCCACCCCCACGGCTTTTCTTCCTTTTTGCCTTTTTCCTTCTTAATTAATCATACGCTGCTGCCCAATTTAAATATGGAAATGCCCAGGCCCCAGCGATGCAATTATTCCTGAGGCCGGGCGGGCTGTCCGGCCCCGGGCTGTGGGGAGCATCGCGGCATCGCCTCCTTTCTGGTGTGTGTGAAATTATGTGCACAAAAGGCGTCTCCTTATCTGAGTGTGTGAACTAAATAAATAAATAAGGGCTTTTGTTTGTTCGCCGGCTCCTGCACATGACTGTTTTGACTAAACCGCCCGTGTTGTCTGTGCCTTTATGGGACTCAGGAGAGGGGCCGGGGGCGGGAGGTGCGGCCGCCGGGCATCTGGGCCTCTCCCTCCCCGGGCATCGCCAGAGCCCGCACCCCTCCCCGCACACACCCTCGCCGGAAAGTTCCCCTGCCCGGGCCGGGCTCCCAGGCAGCTGGCACCGTGCCAGGCTCGCCGCCGAGCGCGGGCAGCGGGGTGGGGCGAGCGGAGGCGGCGCCGAGGACGTGGCCGGGCACCCCGGGCACGAGCCGGACCGAGGCCCGGAAGGTGAGGGCACCCCGGGTGGGCGCAGGGTGGGCACCGGGCGGCGGCAGGCGGGGCGGCGGGTCCGAGTGGGCCGGAGGACGGGGTGGGGTGGGGTGGAGAGCGGCGGGGGGTGGGGGTGGGGGGAGGCGGGGGCACAAAGCCGGGCAGTGCCAGGCACCGCCGCCGCCGCCGCCACCCCGGCCTCCCTCCCTCCCTCTGGGACCGGGCTCTGCGGGGAGGCCGCGCGTGCTTGGGGCCCGGGCAGGCCGTGGCCGTGGCTGGAGGAAGGCCGCGGGGAGCGAGGCGGGGCCCGGGGCTGTCAAGGAGAAAAACATCCCAAGGCCTGCAAATTGCTGCTCTCAGCTTTTTTTTTTTTTTTTTCCTCCTCCTGCTTGGGAGGGGAAAAAAAAAAAAAGCAGCGCTTCCTCTGGAGGCGGATGCAAAAAGGATGCAGACTTTTAACCATCTCCTGCACCCAGGCCTTCCTCAGCAGCGTCCAGGCCCAGGCCCGGCACGGGGGCATCGAGGGAGGGCGGAGTGTGAGGGCGCCAGATGCCTTTTTCTGGGAGATGCTGGAGAGCCAGGCCCCCTGGGCAGCCCCGGCCAGAAGCTGGGCCCGGTGTGCAGGTGTGAGGCCTGGAGGTCACGGGGCACGTGGTGGGCCGCGTGAGCAGGCACGGCGGCCTCGGGTGCCAACGTCACCTGTGTTTGGTGGCTTTGTCTCTTGGTGTTGAGCAGGGTGCCCGCGCACAGCGCTGGGGCATCGCGTCTTGGTCCTCCCTGACTTGGGGTCTTCTGCCATTCTGAGATCATGACCAATTTTTGTGTTTAAAAAATAATACGGGAAGTTTTCTGGTGTCTGGTGGGGGCTTCACCCACCGTCATTTGAGGGCGGGACTTAAGGAACGAATTCTAGAGTGAGGGAGGTGGTCTGGTCCTTGGAGGAACAGCAGGCTAGCTCCCAGTGCAGAGGGAGAGGCCCATGCACCTCAGGGTGAGGATGCTATGTGGGGAGCAGTCGCAGGAGCGTGGTGGGCTGGTGGTCCCCGGAGGCACAGTGCCTGCCTAGGACCCATGAATATGTTTTAATTGTAACATCTTTTAAAATCAGAAGACAACAATGACTCTAATAATAATGAATATATAATGATGAATTCAGTCTGGATTATATTCATCTTTATACCAAGGCAGTCATAAACTATCATGCTTAATAAGTACGGAGGAAGGGGCCATGAAAGCAAAGGTGTTGGGGGCCATGAAAGTCCTAATGGGGCCCTAGGTTGGTCCAGTCTGTCCCGGGACAAAGGGTCAGATGTCTGGCTCCAGGGAGGCCTTTGGGGGCCATCGGGGTGCCTTGCGAATCAGGCACCGGGTTGACTCAGCCAGCTGTGAAGAGGATCCAGGCCCTTCGTGTGTGCGTGTTTGTGTGTGTTCCTATGCACACGTGTGTGTTTTATAAAGGATTCTCAGGCACATGAGTGTGTGAGACTCACTTCTGGAGACAGGTGAACACAAGGCTGAGGTCAGGTGTGGTCATGAGAGCCTGGTACGCCCGACGCTTGGGTTAGGGGTGGTCACTGGGCCAGGAGCCACGGTGGTGCCTCCCAGCCATTGTTTTCCTGGGAGGGAGCAGGCTTCTACGAGGCCCATTCCCAGCCTAGCCCAGCCCTGCGCAGTAGACACGTAACGTGAGCTGCAAACGGAGCAACATCTGTAATTTGACATGTTTGAGCAGCCACATTTTTTAAAAAGTGGAAACAAGCAGGTGAAATTCACTCTAAAAAGAAAATGTATTTTATCGAACATATACCCAAAGTAGTATATTTCAGTGTGGAATTAATATGAAATTATTAATGAGGTTTTTCCTTTTTTTTTTAAATATACTGAGTCTTTGAAATCCAGAGTGTATTTTTCACATTCATCTCAGTTTGGACGGACTCCCTGAGTCTCAAAGGCTTAGCAACTACACGTGGGATTGCGATGTGCTATACTGGGCAATGCAGGTTTAGCAGGTCCCCATGCCCCCCTCACCCTAGAGTTGGGGAGACTGGTTTTTCTGCTGCTTTTTTTGCGGGTGGCCCTTCTTGCCCAGGGTCAAGGACGCTTGCCGTGGCGAGTCAGGCCCCCAGCATCCCCTAGAGCTGAAAGAATGGGTGTTGGGGCTGCAAGCTTCCAGGATGAGGGGGGACTGCTGGAAAGGGTTTCTTCGGCCGTGCTCCCAGACGCCAGGGGGACGTTACAAAGGGCTGGCTTCAGAGTACAATAGTGGGGCGGTTAGTCACAGTGCCGGGCAGTGGGCAGACACACAGAGCTCCCTGTGTCTGCGCCTGGCCCGGCTGGGCCCTGCAGCCCGGTTTCCCCTGCTGGTTTCCCAGCTCTGCCCGTGGCCTTTTGTTTGCACCCCTCCCAACTCCCCGATTAACCCCCTGTACCCGTTGCCTACCTGGCCGCCCGGCTGGGGCATCCTGACTAAGCTCTGGTGTCCATCAGCCAGCCTGGCCAGAGGCAAGCTCCTTCTAGAAGCAGAGCCTGGGCCTGCATGATTTCATTGGCATCTGTTGGGAGAGAGGTGTCGGAAGGGCTCCGTCACTGTGGCTCCACAACATCTGAGAGGAGGTTGTTGTCGAGCTGGACAGCCGTGTGTATGTGTGCCGGCTCCCCACCTAAAGATCCCGTCAGCATTTGAGAGTGTTCCCCATGCAGGGGCCGTGCATCGCTGGAAACAATGAAAAGCCAAAACTGCGAAAAATTAAGGAGTGGCCCGGAAGCTGGCGCCTGCACCGTACATCTTAAAGTGAACAGACTGATATAAATATTTTAATCCTGCGCATAGATGATGGATAAGATAAAATAAATTAGTCATGTCCCAGCCCTGTCTGGGGGACCCTCGGGAAGCAGGACTTCTGTCAGCCTTTGTGCCTTGGTGGTTATAACCGAAATCTCACTCCTAGGTTGCAATCTTCACGGCTCCAGGATGGAATTAGCTGTTTGTTGTGATTTGACGGTTAAATTATTAACACGTGGAGAAGGTAACTGCCCTCCAAAAGGTAGAGAGCACGGCAAACAGTCTCTCTCTTTTTAATTAAAAATTATCTGTGCAGGGATTCTGCCTGTTGGATTTTCTTTGCTAAATTAAAGCGGCATGTGTTTTTATTTTAGAAGGCAGGGATGGTTTGCTGTGCCCTGTGTGAGGAGAAGTGAAAGAAAGGGTCTTTTGAAAATGTGCCCATCTACTCACAGCTTAAAAATTCCAAGTGCCAGACGTTTTCCTTGGAGGAAATAAATGTCTCCAATTTATTCCTCTTACCTGTTGATTATGTTTTATAATTATTTGTTTTAAATAATTTAATCCTTGTCTGAAGCTGGAGGTGCCTCGGGAATGTAAAAAGCCTAGGTCTATTGACACCTCTGTGTTAAAAGTCACCGCATGCCCAATCCGGGTCCAGTCCACTCTCCGGATGACACACGGGTCCACGCGCTATGGCTCATCCCACCGCTGCCTTCTGAAAACAAGTGATGGAAGACGTATGTTCAGCTCACATCATTTTGTTCTGATTTATTTTAAACCAGTTAAGATGATTTTAGCACAAAGAGTGGTGTATCTTACTTGCTTTCTGAGAGCCATTGGATTTTCAAGCTGGAGTACAAATTTTTTTTTCCCCCAAAATCCAAATTTAGCAATTGCCTTTTAGAGTAGAAGACAGCATGTTGGTTCGCCTTTTAACTCGCTGTGAGAGAAAGAGACTTAAGATCAAATACATTGGATTCGTAGATTTGTTCCCATCCGTTGGTATCAAGGGGCTGGAAATGGCCCCCTTTTAAAAAATAAGATAGGAAAAGGCGTGTTCCCACACGGGGCATCATGAGCTCTTCTGGGGTGGACTCCAGCCCCAGAGGTTCCACAGACGTGTACGTGAGTCATCATCCTACGCATGTGTTTTTCCTTCCCAGGGGGAGTGTGGCATTCGGCTCTAACATCTCCCTTTGACAAAGACAGTCCTTGCCCGGCTGAGGCACCGGCGCCCCTCAGCCGGCCATGTCCCAGGGCAGCCCATTCCTCTCAAGTGATAAACAGACTCTGTGCAAATACCAGTATTTTAACACAAACCCAAGAAACCTTCATGAATTGCAGTTCCACCCTGGCCGCTGGCATCACCTCCGGTAACGGAAAAAAAATTTTTTTGGAATAACGGGAAACACAGCCGATCCCCGGGGAGAATGTCTCCCCCGCAGGAAGGTACCGGGACAAGGTGTGGCAAGTGCTGTGGACCCATGGGCGACTCCAAGCCTCTGCTCCCGTCCTGGGGCTCGTCACTTCTTCAAGCCTGTTTCCCAGATTTAAAAGGAGAAGCATAGTGTCCATCTGAGCCCACGGTCAAGGGCTGTTGCAGAACTATTAAAACGGCAGCGAATATTTGCACGGCAAACCCGCCCAGTTTCATTTTCTGTTTCAAAGTGTTTTTCTAAAGGGTAAAGTGCTGGAGCCACGTGAATGGCCGTTATCATCTTAGTAACTTCTCTGGCAATGGAGGATTATTACTGTTTATGTTAAACTCATACCTAGTTAACAGTAATTCGTTTCATTCTGGTAACGAATTAGATCTACTTGACTTATAACAAATACAGTGTTATCAGTAATACGATCCTTTTCTGAGTATGCAAGCAATATACGCTCATCGCAGAAATCTTGGAAAATACAGAAAAAGGCACGTAAGGGAAAAATTGTTCATCCTCGTCCCCCCTGAAGCGCGGTCACATTTCCAGGATTTCCTTCCAGGCTTTCTTTGCTGCCTCTGTGTCAATTCTTGTAGGCACCTATTTCGGAATAACTCGGTGCCTTCTCTGCTGTGGCCTCGAGTCCTCTTGACGCGGCTGTTCTTCAGGGGCAACTCCTCCCTGACCCATGGGCCGCCTCCTTCGGGCAGGCCCCCGTGCAGACCCTGGTGTTCGGGGAGAAGACCTCGGGCTCCATGGCCCCCAGCCTTCTTCCCCCACTGTTCTGGGAGCCAAGTCAGGGCAGG